AATGTACAGTAATTAGTCACACACCAAGTTGTACGTGCATAAATAGTTACACTGGAGATCCTTTCATACAATGCGTTAGGGAAACAAGTGAGCATCAAAAAATAATAGTGATTTCTGTTAAATAAAAAATTGAGTTTAACTTATTTACATTTTTTATAAAGATATAGTGCTATTCAAAGCCTGAAGATTTTTTTAATAATGGCACACTTTTTTACTTATTGAAACTATAGACATTAATGGTTATTCAACTACAAGAAGTAATAATTTATTTTTTCCTGTTATTTTAGTAACTCCATTTCTAAATGATAAACAAGTGTGTCTTTCATCTACGTGTGGTGCCAATGCCATTTGCCGTGAAACTCACGGTGGGGCCATCTGTTCATGTTTTTCTAATTATTACGGGAATCCATACGAAGGATGCAAACCTGAATGTACTGTTGATTCGGATTGTCCCATCAATTTAGTTTGTAGTAGAATGAAATGCCAAGATCCATGCCCTGGAAGCTGTGGAATAAATGCAGTTTGCCAAGTTGTTAATCATTTGCCCCTATGTAATTGTATTATCGGTTACAGTGGAGATCCTTTCATTCGTTGCGTTGAAACTGCACTACGGCGTAAGCTTGATTTTTTTTAAGTTGAAAAAAATTTTTTTTTATGTTTTGCTTATTTCGCTGTAAATATTTTTTTTTCAACTTATTTTTTTATACACAGCTACTGTTATACCAAGCCCATGCATTCCATCACCATGTGGGCCTAATAGTTTGTGCCGCAATAATGGGAGTAAAGCAAGTTGCACATGTTTACCACCTTATCGTGAAGGGCCTAATGGATGTAGATCAGAATGTATTGTGAGCGCAGAATGTCTCTCAAATCGTGCTTGTGTTAACAAAAAATGCATAGATCCATGTTTTGAACTTTGTGGTAAAAACGCTCGATGCGAAGTTATTAATCACAGCCCAATTTGTAGCTGTATGCTTAATGAAACCGGCGATCCATTTGTACAATGCTTTAATCAAACTAGTAAGTTTCTGAAATTGTTTTACACATGAACTTGACATTTACTTAATATAATAAAACTTATATAACATTTGTTCAAGTAACAGTTTAATGGTCAAGATTAAATATTACTCGTTAGTCGTTTGAGTTTTTGATTTACTTGATTATGGTAACTTTACATCATATTGGAATAATTGGAAAGTTGTACCTAAATATACATTGAGACTTTAATAAAACATATAATTTATATTACGTACAAGTTTGAAAAGGCCTTGATTTACAAGTCGAAAGGCTTACGGCATGAGCCAAAGGTGAGCCTCGTAACGAGATTCTTAAAGAAGCCTTTTCAAACGAGTTTCGTATACTATTTTTCCCCATAAAAATCTAAAAGCAAAGGTGCTATTTTGAGATTAGAAAGTGGAAAAAAACAGTTACCTAGAATTGTCACATGCATTTTTTTAGTTTTAAACAATGTACCAGTAAGAACGAATTCTGGTTTATACGCAGCGGAAAAGGGTAATGCCAGAGATATGAGATGTACCAAAATAACGATTTTCCAAAATTAAATACAAAAATTATAGCAAAGGTTATTTAATGAAGAAATTATAAGTAGGAATTTACGATAAAATCCTTGAAACACTATGTCAACTAATACATATGTATGATATTTTTACGCCATGTTAAATAATTTTACTAATTTAATGTGCATCATAGCTTCCGTGGAAAAAGTGAACTCATGTATTCCCAACCCATGTGGACCCTTTTCAATATGTCGAGATACAGGTGGATATCCATTCTGCTCTTGCTCTCTAAAATACATAGGATCACCACCGAACTGTCGACCAGAATGTCAAATAAACTCAGAATGTAATAGTAACCAAGCTTGTGTACAAGGACAATGTAAAGACCCATGTCCTGGGTCGTGTGGTTTCAACTCTAACTGCTTTGTTGTCAATCACAATCCTATTTGTATTTGTTTCGATGGTTACACCGGTGATCCATTTACTAACTGTCAAATGAGACAACCCCAGTGTAAGTTTGGTGAATTTTTATAGTTCAATGAGTTGTTTGTTGAGCATTATATCTCTAGCAAAGATAATAAATAAATTGGATTCTTACTAACTTATTCCACTTATAATGCATAAACACATGTATACTTTTTTATTACAAATGCTTTGTTAGCTAAGCCCTTCCTAATTTTGTAGTTGATCCTGTCAAAGAAGACAAATGTTACTCTTCACTATGTGGATCTAATACTCTTTGCGATAATGGAATATGTACATGCATCCCTGGATATTTTGGTAACCCTAATCAAGGTTGCCGACCTGAATGTATCCAAAATTCCGATTGTCTTTCAAACAAAACTTGCATCAATTACAAGTGTGTTGATCCTTGTCCTGGAATTTGTGGACAAAACGCTCAATGCAATGTTATTAATCACATACTAACTTGCAGTTGTATTGATAATTATGAGGGCGATCCTCTCACATTGTGTGAATTAATTATTAGTAAGTTCACAGTTGCCTCTGTTTTAAAAGATTACATTACGTTAAATCAAGTTAACATTTTTATTTCAATGAAAAACGAGCTAGAAAATGGCGATTCAATTTATATTTTTTTATTACGACCTACAGAAAGAGCAAAAACCAAGCCTTGTACACCATCACCGTGCGGACCAAACAGCGTATGTCACGAAGTTTCTGAGCAAGCATCGTGCTCTTGCTTACCTAACTTCTTTGGTGTTCCACCAAATTGTAGACCTGAATGTCTTATGAGTTCAGATTGCGAACAGTCACGTGCTTGTATAAGTCAGCGTTGCCAAAATCCTTGCGTCAATTCTTGTGCCCCAAACTCATTATGCGTTGTACGCAATCATAATCCCATATGCAGCTGTCCATCTGAATACACTGGGAACCCCTTCCTTAATTGCTATCTCATCAGTAAGTAATTTATTGTATACGCTTTGATCCCAACCCCATTCATTTAATCCTAGAAAAAAGTTTTTTTTTTTTTAATGACAACTAGAAAAACCTATGATATTTTTCATTACTTTGTAAAAAATTGCAAATAGTAAAAAAATAATTCAATCGTTCTCAAAACGATAGTGTTAGCACAAAAAAATGTTTTTATCCTGTCCAGAAGCACTGGAGTACCCAAGACCTGCAAACCCATGCAAACCTTCTCCCTGTGGGGCAAACAGTCAGTGTAGGCTAACACCCGATGGCATCAAGCCCCTTTGCTCATGCTTAGCTGATTACTTTGGTTCAGGCTATCAAGACTGTCGATCTGAATGTTCTGTCAATAGCGACTGCCCTAATAATCGTGCCTGCATCCAACTCAAATGCCGTGACCCTTGTCCCGGCCAGTGTGGCATTCAAGCTTTCTGCACAGCCGTACTCCACCAAGCCCGCTGCTATTGCCCCAAAGGATTTGAAGGCGATCCTTTTACTGTCTGTAGTCCAATGAGAAGTAAGATTCAAACTAATATCCATCAATTTGAACACTCTTTTTTATTTTTTTTATTTTTTATAATATTTGATAAGAATTTATATGCATATTAAGTATGTATCTTTACTCCCGAAAATATACTTTCAATGTTTCAGATATCCATGAATCTAATTATCTTATAAATTAAGCGCACTTTTACACATAGTTTTCTTAATTTTAAAAACTAATATACAGCTTTACTTTTTGTAAATATATGACTTTTTCTCGTCTATCTTTGCATGTAACTTTTTTAAACACAACAATTTTTCCTTTTTTCATATTTATATAAATGTCAATTGCACATATTTGCATGCTAATAGTTAAATTGTATTAAAATTTATTTAAAAGTGTATTATTTGTATATAATAATGATGTTCATTTATGTGCATAATAGGGTACTAAGAATTGCTCATACGGACGATGGAAGATTGTTAAAATAAGCATTCTAGAATTTCCTCACATTTTACATGATTGTATTATAATTGTTTATCAGATAAGATATTCTTTTACACCCAAATTTATCCACTTAAAAATAAATATTAATTACTTGTAATTGAAAGACAGATCCTAAAGTAAGACAGAATAGAACATAGATTTTAGTATAAACTCAAAAAATTCTTAAATTTAGAGATAAACCTTTTCTTGTTATGAATAACTTCTACAATGTATTTGCTATGTGCAAGTATATTGGCGCTATCTAATTCCGGAACAGTGAGTAGTTTCGAGACATTTGAGGACCTAATGTATTGGGTATAGATTAAAAAAAAATTAAAGTAGATTACTTAATAACTCTACTTAACGTAAAAACTATGAGAATCATAATGAAAGCAAATGATTTAATTATTCCTTAGTTTTAATGTAAAGTAAAGTAACACTATGGTACCTTACAAAGAAAAGAAGATAAGTTCAAAGTTAGTAACATAAATTCTATTTTTTAGGGTTGCAGCAGTACGCACTGATCATTACTGAAAAGTAACGCGAGTTGATATTACTGTAAATGACGTACTTCTCAGTCATATTAGTGTAAGATTTTATGTCGGCTTTATTTTGTTTACTAATTGTTTCATACATTTCATTATCCACTTTAATTTATTCTCAACAAAGGAGCTGTAAAACATACGCTTCACATGACTTTTACTATATTTATCTTTAGCAACTTAAATAAGTTTAAAAATCATATTATGTACAGCCTATAATACATTAAGGCTTTTAATGTCTCGAAATTACGCTCTTCTTTCACCATAGGCGCTTCAATCACTTTGTTTTACCTGCTATAACGATGAATTGTTATTCTATTAAAGACTTAAAACAATGCTTATCAAAGATTTTTGAAAGTAAACAGATAAAAAATTTTCAAACAAAAAAGTTTTTTTTCAATTCATTAAGGTGCAACATACGTGAACTTTTTGTGTACATAAAAACTATTGCGTTGATCCTTTATGTTTAGCATGCATGGTACTGCTTGTAAACATTTAAATTCTGAATAGATCTTAAACTCCATTGCTAAAATTTTATAGAACCAGGACAACAGACAACGTTACAACGACCTTGCTCACCATCACCCTGTGGATCTAATACCTATTGCCGCGAACAGCACGACTTGGCATTGTGTGAATGCCTACCCAATCATAGAGGGGACCCTTATGTTGGCTGCTACCCTGAATGCCTGGTCAACAGCGATTGTCCAAACTCTCAAGCTTGTCTCCGACACAAGTGTCAGGATCCATGCGATGGAACGTGTGGCATTGACGCTATTTGTAGCATTTCGAATCATGAGCCTATATGCAGCTGTCCTTACCCCAAAGTTGGAGATCCGTTTAATGCTTGCATTACTCCAATACAAGGTAATTTAAAACATTTTCATTACTTACTTTCAATGATTCATTAGAAATTCTAAAAGAGTAAGGTTATTTAGTCAAAGAAAATATACTAATTTTAAACTATAAGCTGATTGACTTTATAAAATCAAGTTCAAAAACAAATTTTGCCTTAAATTAATAAAAACTTTAAAGTTCATTGCAATGAATTAATCAGAGGGTTGGAGCAAAAATAAATTCTTGATGGCTCAAAAAATATAACACTTTTAATTTGAAGCCTCCTATAACATTAAAATTTGAGAGTGGCAAGCCACATGATTTTCGAAAAATCAATCGTAAGGTTCAATGCTTATACACAGGATCTTACGGAAACGCTATCATGAGACATGAAGTCTTTACTGTATCAAATTTATTAAAAAAAAAAAAAAGTATGTTATGGTTAATAATACATAAAGAATTCTATTAAAATTAAAAGATCCAGCCATATCGTTAAAGAGATGTTAGTTGTGTTGGATTTAGCCGAGCGCTCACACCAAACCATGCCGTACTAGTCACTTCGTGCTCAGCTTTCTCTCATTTGTAGTACTAAGAATTCCTCCATAATTAAATAATAATAAATGTTATTGGCAACTAATCCGTGAGATAAAATTTAATTATAAACTGTCAGGATAATTTAGTTAGTTATTATTTAGATGATATGATTTTTATTATTTCCAAAAAATTACGATTCCCTGTATTGGCTGCAAGCAGATCACATTTTTAGGTACTCCTTCAAGCCAGAAGAGAGCCGTAGACATTAGGTAGTTTCAACTTATTAAAAAAATTGACAGACTCAAGTTCTTCAATTAGTATATGTGCCCTTGACTCCATTATAATTAATTAGAATTGTTAGAAGTCAAAATTATTAAAACAATTATTTAACCATGAAACTAGTAAAAGTTATCGAAAGTAAATCATGAAATACTTGAAAGAAAAGTGTTATTATATAAATTATTTTTTTTAGAAAATTTTATAAATGAGCATTGAGATAAATATTTAAGAATCCACAGTATTGACAAGCCCATGCCTTCCGAACATATGTGGACCTCAAACAACATGCGAGAATGACAATGGCAAAGCAATATGTCACTGCTTACCCGGAATGCAGGGCGATCCAGCAGATGTGGCTGGCTGTCATCCAGAATGCGTACTTAGTTCTGACTGCCCGAGTGACAAAGCTTGTGTGAACTACAGATGCAAAGATCCCTGTCAGAAGAACGTCTGCGGAGTAAAGGCCGTATGTAAAGCTGTCAATCACAGTCCACTATGTAGCTGTCCAATATCACATATTGGCAATCCATTCATTGAGTGTTATCTGAAAGAAGGTATGTTGTCTTGACTTATTATTTTAATTTTTACAATTTGCTTAAAATTCTATTTTGACGTTGTTCATAGTGTTTCTTTTATTTTAAAGTTATAATTACTTCTGCATTCATCACCTAGAACATATAATGATAAGAATCGAATCATTTCTGCTCATTAAAACAATTGATCTACTGATGAATCTTTTACTAACTTCAAAGAGGAAAACTTTGCATATAGCATTATTTGAAACATTTGTATTAGACGATCTTTGAAAGTAAAACTTACATCTATAGGTCTCAGTTCACACATGCACACATAATTACATATATTATATATGAAACACATACATACGTACATAAATACATACATACATACATACATATATTTATATATATTCCAAGATCGTTCTTTACATGTCTTTTAAATGTTAGAAACAATCTTTGCTGAAATTAAGATACAGACTCTGGCTCAAAGATGTTTGGATTCTCTTTTCACATTCCAAAATAATCCCAGCGTTTATCTATGTCTATTTCTTATTGTAAGTTGCTATACCTTCATGTCATTTATTTATTTATTTACTTACTTATTAACGGCTCATGGGTCCAATTGCATATTGAAGAAAAAGTAAACGTTTCGTTCGGAGACGCAGATGCTAACATATCATGGTTACATAGTTGAAAAATTACAAATAAAGTAAAAAAGTTTTCGCAAATTTTATTACGTAATTCGAATATCAAAACAAATACGTAAGCTATAAAAATGTAGAATTTATATCGACTGGAAGAGTGCTTCTAACATTGAGTATGAAGACTAAACAGCTAGCAAACATGTATAAAGATTTAATTCTAAACTTTTATGTTGTGAATTTTAGGTGAGTTCTGGATTGTGGAGTTTTAAAATCTTCTTAGATGAAGATTGGGGCATAATAAGTGTAGTTCAAAGAGTGAGTTTTTTCAATAAGTTTAGAAGATAAAAGAGATAAAAGTTTTGGACAGTATACTAAACTGTTTTTGAGTTTAAATATAAATACACAATCATAATAGGTGTGCAATGTACGAGCATCTAGGAAAGAGATACATGACATTAGAGTAGTACGATTGTGGTCGATACAATCGGAGAAATAGCCATTTTAACCAGCGAAGGACTCGGTATAGTATACTTTTGTGTTGGGAGATATTGGACTATTATTAGGGAAGACTAAATTGTAGATGAATATGTAAGATGTGGCATACATTAATATTTAAAAGTGTATATTTTTTATTCTTATTTCGTGAAATTTCTAGTGGCTCCATGGGTGAAGCCAAGTATTCTGAAGGTAGTAGCTGTCATCGTGTCTAGATGATTTGATATATGGACTATTCGAAATCAAGAGTAATGTCCATGGTAGATATAGAGCTAACATTACATAAAGGTACGTTTTATATGATATAGTAAGTAAGTTTCTGGGGTTTCTTCCTAGAAATAGAAATTGAAACGCGCTTATCTGGGTATAAGTGGAATCTTGACTAGTACATTATCAGAAAAGGAAATCATTTTTAACAGTTTGATGTCGTCAATGGAAATAAAGCTCTTTGATGAAGCATGAGACGTAGGAAGAGAAATAGAACTATTTCCAGTGATGTTCTAGCCTGCCCAGTTCGAGTCTTCTCATTCCAGATGTATTAGCATGGTGAGCGATACTATCGAAGGCCTTTGTCATATCTAAGAAAGTATAATCAACTTGCATGGGTAGTAAATAATAGAAGATTTGTAATCATAGAGCACCCTTTTATAAAATCATGTCGTTTGAGGCAGATCAAAGGGTATAATATGGAAAAGAGTCTTTGGTAAATGAGACAATTAAAAATGTTTAGTATGCAACTAAGAATTGTGATAAGTCGTTAGTCACTGACTAGTTAAGGCTCACCAGATTTAAGTATGAAATAGATAACTGAAAATTTCAAGCTATTATGAAAAGTTTCTTTTTCTAAAGATTCATTGAATAATCATCCTAGTGGTGGATATAAGCACGTTAAGCAGTTTTTGAAAAATATAGATAGAATCCAAATTAAAAATACATTGTCAGATGAGACATGATTCGAAAAACATCGAAGAAGATTATATTAGTATTGTGGCTAAAAACAGAAGGAGAAATGCGGTGGAGGAATGCTGAAAGAAAAAGATTCAAACGTGCTTGGCGAGGAGTACAGCTCTATCGTAAAGTAGCTGATACCACATTAAGGCTTAAAGAGGGAGAAATTTGGTTTTATCCTGAGCCGTAATTAATGAAGCACTAAAAATGGAGACTGCTATTTTTAAAAAAAACTCTGATATTAGTATACACACTTGGTATAAGAAACGTAACAGCCTGATGCATACGGCTTTTAGTCTCTAGAATATTATATAATCAGCCTGTCATCAGAAGCTACACCAGACAGATAAGAGTAAATTATTGTTAGAAATTTGATTTGATGTCATTTGCTTTAGTGAACTAGTCGATTCTAAAGTTGCAAAAGATATCGTTTAATTAAGATATTATAATTGTTCGATTCCAAGAAGTCGATAATCGACTTTTTTATGCCTTCAAACAATGTAGCGTTGCACCTACTTTTATTTTTCTTAGTAATAAACTCAAGTTGGGATATCTTCTGCAGCTATGACATAAAGTACAAGAGTCGTCAAGAGTCCATCAGGAGTGCGATCGATGAATTAGTTCATGTAATTCTAATTCTAATTCTAATATTCTTACATACCATATGAGCAAAGCGTCAGACTGAAAAAATTACCGAAAAAGTATTAAGTGTAGCAATTCGAGAAGAGGAATCGCCGAGACCTCGATGTCGAAATTGGTAACGCGCTGTCCTGGCGAGAAAAGAGTTCCAGGTTCAAGTCCTGGTTGAGGTGGCACTTTTTTTCAACTGCTACATGTGACAATGTTTCTAAAAACTGTAGTTTTTAACTGAAAAATTTTAGTTGCCTTCGCAATCGTGAGTTGGATGGGAAATGTCGATAAATTCAATTACTCGTAAAAATTTCAACGAATTTTTTCAAAATTGAAAATTTAAAAAAAGGGGCTATCGGACCGGCTTTCGTGGAGCAATCATAAATGAAATATCTTTCCAGTAATAGTGTTTAAAAAATGAGGCTGTGAAAAAGTGATCCGATTGCCCCATCCTACCCTACTTCTTGTCATGATATGGTTTGTTACTTATTTTGAATGCCAATATTTATTTACTGTACATTCCTTTTTTGTATTCTATGAATTCATTAAGTAATTTTTATTGTGCTTTATTCTTTCACAATTTTTTTATCTGCGACTAAGATGATTTTTTTGACTTATAGATGTTTATCAAAGTTAGCGGAAGAAAAGTTTGGAGAGGTGAGTGGAGCGCAAAAATATGGAGCAATGCTGGCAATTATTTTTCCTGCATAGATATATTTACGAGTGCGCGGTGGCTCAGTCGGCTAGGTCGTGGATTGGCACGTGGGAGACCGTGGTTCGATTCTCGGCCAGTGCGACTTATCGGGCAAGTACCTCTGTGACTTTTACATGTGCTTTTTCACCACGCAATGCTCCTCGAGGAGGGCTTAGGCGACCTTCTCGCAGCAAAAATTGCCTTATTTCCCCCTACCCCCCTCCCAGTAATGGGAGGCCTCCCATCCCTCTTCCCTTCCTTCTACAAAGTGCTAAGTGCCCATAGTAGTGTCCTTATTAAAAGAGCCGGACGTAGAGCACTATAAAAAAAAAAAAAAAAAGATATACTTACATGTATGCTTTCACGCATACTCGATACGTTCTTTCTTGTTTTATTAAAAAATAATAACTGTGAATGTATTTAAAAATTTAATAGGTTTATTTCAAAGTAATCTTCCATAGAAAAAAAATTGGAAGATTTCTACAAATCATATAAATGAAATTTTACCTGATCCATTCATAATGTTACATTTAAAATTGAGAATTTTTTAAAATGAGACATGTATAAAAAAAGTGTATAGTTAAACGAGCTGCCTACTTTTCAAAAAACCTATGTGTTATGAACGTCCAGCAGTGATATTTACTAGCATGAAATAAATACTATTCTCTATTGAAGATGAGACGGTACTACAAGATAGTTCTTCTTAACCTAACAGGAAAATCTAAAGATACAATTGTATTTTGGATATTGAATATGGACTAGGAATAAGTGTATAAGCGTATCTTACAGATGTGAGCATGAAGTTAGAGATGTAATCAGCGTAGGTGGTAGAAAGTTCTTTTAAAATTATCAAAAGATTCGATGAAAGCACACAGTCTTGTACTGGTGATGGTGGTAGCACGTCGTGACATAAGTATAATTAAAACTTTTCTTATTCATGTAGTATAGTGTTTATAATCAATAATTGCACCATCTACTTTGTACAAAATATTGTTTAATTGGAGGTATATTCATATTCATATATTGTCTGCCATAGAATTTCATAGAAGTATAACTTTATACTTGGGTACCCAAGCCTCCACTGTCCACTAATGCGTGTAAAGCGTGTATGCAAGTATATACATATAAAAAAAATAATTGCCAGCGTTACTAAATATTTTTGTGCTCCTCTCGTTTTCCTGAACTTTTTTTCCGCTTACTGTGATGAATGTCCTCAAGTAAAAGAATCACGTCAATTACGAATAGAACAAATATGAAAGAATAAAACGCAATAACAATCAATTATAGTATTTTTATGCAATACAGAATAAATTTCTTTTTAATTTTTGAAAATTTAAAAAAAAACCAAAGAATTGTATGAACAATTATTCACTTATTGCAAAAGTAACAAACCAATGATGAATAAATAAANGCGGAAACAGAGAAAACCAGCCAGTACAGTAACCTATCCACCAGAAATGGTGTGTTATTAAAAAAAAAAAAAAAAAAAGGTTAGACATCTATTTGAAATCAAAACGGGTGTATCTAAAAGCATTCTTTTTAAATCTGGAAGAAATTTTTTTTTTGTAATTAATTAACGAAAAAGAAATAAAATTTAAAAAGTGTGCTGTGCTGCTTCACTTATT